ATTCTAATTAAGTAGCATGAAAGGAATGACTTAAGCACTTTCATCAGATTATTTAACATTTTTTGATAAACTAAGTCATAATTTTAATGTTGGTAGTTTGCTCAGTATAATTGGATGGAACTTAAATACAAATTAGTTAAGTAATCATAATTTTGAAAACTGGAAAATTAAAGATATGATCTTCAGATAGGAAATTTCATCAAGTAATGGCAGCATTTTAGGAATTCCAATCAAATCAAATTAACAAATTACTCAAACAAATTTAACAAACTTTACAATAATTGGACTTCAATGTATAGATTGCTATAAGCCATTAATCAGATTGAATACTACTAATGCATAATTATTTCTATTAAAATTTAATGATATTACATTCAAAAACGGTTTTTCAATTAAACCTTCAAATCAGAGCTTAATCAAAATTGATACAAAAGGAATCTTTAGGCTTAATATTAATAAAAGTCATTTTGAGAATATATCAAATGATATTTCAAATAATTTGCAGCTCATTTAATTTGATTCTGATTTTTAATAAATGGCTTTCATCACTTTCAACAATACTAAATTCCAAAATTTAAATTTTCAACAGGCTGGAGGAACAATTTTATTAATTTAAAGTGGTTAATCAATATGACTTTATATAAATTAATGTATATTTAGTGGGTTATAAACATTAGATTATGGTGGAATTTTACACTCAAAATTATAAAATAACATAAGTATCGTTATCAATGACTCATTTATTGATAATATTCATGCTTAAAGCAATGGTAGTATATTTTATCTAAATTCATCAGAATCTTCATTTGAAATATATAACTCTGTTATTTAAAATATCTAAACAACTGGAAAAGCAGCATTTCATATAATTTCGTCTAAATTTATACGGATTAATATTATAAATAATACTCGCATCAATTAGGTCTTTTCAAAATCAAATGAGGGATTATTTTTTGTCTCAACTTTATCATTTAATATAATTATAGAAGATTCAAATATAAGTTAAATACACACATTCGGTAAAGGAGGGATATTTCATATAGATGAAAGACATATTTATAACGGAAGTGCTAAAATTCAATTTTCCATTATAAAAGATATTGTAGCTATGTAAGGTTCAATAATATATTTCAATGCATCTTATGCACTGTAGAATAAAGCATAATTATTTGAAATAAAATCTATTGGAAATAAGTATGAATTTTCCAACCAATAAAATGTTGAGTGGATTAAAAGGTATCAGAATTAGTCAATTCATAGTCTAGATCTTGGGCAAGATAGATAAGCAAATTATATGTTTTATTTTGGATTAATATCAAACATCACTTCTTAATTTGATTACGACTATTTCGACATATCTTGCTAAGACTCCTATAACTCAATTATGCATTTCGGATAAGGGTCTTAAAATTCTATAAATAACTCTCAAATTATAGGATCAAATCATTAAAAAAATCAATAAAAACTATTGAATGATACTTTTAACTCAATTTAAATTTCTTGTAATGGATGCATATTAGATCTTTTTTCTACCAACATTTCAATAGACAGAACCTCAAAATCAAGTTTCATTGTATCCTAGTTTGGTGGTATAATAAGATTGAATAATATTCAAATAGTTGATTCTAATACTTCTACTTTTGGGAAATTAATGACTGTTGAAGGTTCTTTAACCTCTACTATCTATTTTATAAATAGTAATATCAGACTAAATTTGAGAAATAATTAAAATAATCAATCAATGGCCCTTTTATATTGTAGTAATCCCTTAGGATCTTTCTACTTTTAAAATCTTATTATTGATTTCATAGCCTTATCAGATGTATCTTTTTTTTCTGCTAATGCTGTAAACACAATTTAACTCGATGATGTGAAAGTAACTTAGATATAATCTCAATCCTTAGGTTAGCTATTGAAAATAAATTCAGAAGTTCCATTTTTTGTAAAATTAAGTAAAATTGATTTATAATGTGCTATTAATCCCATAGATATTTAATAAGCTACTTAGTAATTAATTTCAATAGAAAAATTCAGTTAGAAAAGTATTTTCTATTTCTAGAATGCAAATAAAATAGAATCAAATGATAATGTAATGAATAATTGTCTAATAGCAGATATGGGTTCTATTTATAATATTAGAAATTCCTATTTTTAAGATTTCAACTCAAACTACTCCTAATTAGGAGCCCAATGAGGGGGCTTTGGATATTTTGATTCTTCAAAAATCCTATTGAATTCAGTGTTATTTTCCAACACAATTGCGAAATTTGGAGGAATGCTTGAAATTACTGGATAGTCAGATATTGAAATTAAAAATTCACATTTTTATTATTTCTAGTCTATCAATAATGGTTCTGGGATATATGTGGATGATGATATGAATAATATTACTATTAACGTAACTAATACAACATTTTCATATTCAAATTTAAATCTAATGATTTAAGATCCTTCAATGAAAATCTATGGAGGAGTTATATATGCTAAAGGCAGAGGAATAAGCATTAATTTAAGGGAGAATATAAGAGCTATTTAATTATAAGCAGCTAGTGGGTCCTTAATTTATAGTCAAGGAATAAAATCAATTAGCATAATACACTTGTAATACTTAAATTCTTAGTTTAATGCAATTGATTCAACTGGGAATACATTAATTAGAATGGCAAATACAGAAATTGTATGCAAATAGTAAATTATATTATCTAATTACTTTGATCGTAACTATCTCATAAATAGCTACTAAAATAATTAAGTACTTGAATCTGATTCTCAGAGTATGATAATTATTTTTGATGGTGTATAATTCAACGGGTCATCAAATACTTTTAAGTAATGCTATTTTGCTTTAAAAGGAGGAATTATATATGGAGAGTCCTCTACAATATATGATGTATAATCGATATACAAAAATATTGGAGCTCTAGAAGGTGGATTAATGTATATAAAAAATTCAAATGCAACGATAGAAAAATTTTCAGTTGAAAATATAATATCGAAAAATGGAGGATTATTTTATCAGGCAGGATTATCAGAGATAATATTAAATCTTGGATAAATATAGCATACCACTGCATTCTAATTAAGTAGCATGAAAGGAATGACTTAAGCACTTTCATCAGATTATTTAACATTTTTTGATAAACTAAGTCATAATTTTAATGTTGGTAGTTTGCTCAGTATAATTGGATGGAACTTAAATACAAATTAGTTAAGTAATCATAATTTTGAAAACTGGAAAATTAAAGATATGATCTTCAGATAGGAAATTTCATCAAGTAATGGCAGCATTTTAGGAATTCCAATCAAATCAAATTAACAAATTACTCAAACAAATTTAACAAACTTTACAATAATTGGACTTCAATGTATAGATTGCTATAAGCCATTAATCAGATTGAATACTACTAATGCATAATTATTTCTATTAAAATTTAATGATATTACATTCAAAAACGGTTTTTCAATTAAACCTTCAAATCAGAGCTTAATCAAAATTGATACAAAAGGAATCTTTAGGCTTAATATTAATAAAAGTCATTTTGAGAATATATCAAATGATATTTCAAATAATTTGCAGCTCATTTAATTTGATTCTGATTTTTAATAAATGGCTTTCATCACTTTCAACAATACTAAATTCCAAAATTTAAATTTTCAACAGGCTGGAGGAACAATTTTATTAATTTAAAGTGGTTAATCAATATGACTTTATATAAATTAATGTATATTTAGTGGGTTATAAACATTAGATTATGGTGGAATTTTACACTCAAAATTATAAAATAACATAAGTATCGTTATCAATGACTCATTTATTGATAATATTCATGCTTAAAGCAATGGTAGTATATTTTATCTAAATTCATCAGAATCTTCATTTGAAATATATAACTCTGTTATTTAAAATATCTAAACAACTGGAAAAGCAGCATTTCATATAATTTCGTCTAAATTTATACGGATTAATATTATAAATAATACTCGCATCAATTAGGTCTTTTCAAAATCAAATGAGGGATTATTTTTTGTCTCAACTTTATCATTTAATATAATTATAGAAGATTCAAATATAAGTTAAATACACACATTCGGTAAAGGAGGGATATTTCATATAGATGAAAGACATATTTATAACGGAAGTGCTAAAATTCAATTTTCCATTATAAAAGATATTGTAGCTATGTAAGGTTCAATAATATATTTCAATGCATCTTATGCACTGTAGAATAAAGCATAATTATTTGAAATAAAATCTATTGGAAATAAGTATGAATTTTCCAACCAATAAAATGTTGAGTGGATTAAAAGGTATCAGAATTAGTCAATTCATAGTCTAGATCTTGGGCAAGATAGATAAGCAAATTATATGTTTTATTTTGGATTAATATCAAACATCACTTCTTAATTTGATTACGACTATTTCGACATATCTTGCTAAGACTCCTATAACTCAATTATGCATTTCGGATAAGGGTCTTAAAATTCTATAAATAACTCTCAAATTATAGGATCAAATCATTAAAAAAATCAATAAAAACTATTGAATGATACTTTTAACTCAATTTAAATTTCTTGTAATGGATGCATATTAGATCTTTTTTCTACCAACATTTCAATAGACAGAACCTCAAAATCAAGTTTCATTGTATCCTAGTTTGGTGGTATAATAAGATTGAATAATATTCAAATAGTTGATTCTAATACTTCTACTTTTGGGAAATTAATGACTGTTGAAGGTTCTTTAACCTCTACTATCTATTTTATAAATAGTAATATCAGACTAAATTTGAGAAATAATTAAAATAATCAATCAATGGCCCTTTTATATTGTAGTAATCCCTTAGGATCTTTCTACTTTTAAAATCTTATTATTGATTTCATAGCCTTATCAGATGTATCTTTTTTTTCTGCTAATGCTGTAAACACAATTTAACTCGATGATGTGAAAGTAACTTAGATATAATCTCAATCCTTAGGTTAGCTATTGAAAATAAATTCAGAAGTTCCATTTTTTGTAAAATTAAGTAAAATTGATTTATAATGTGCTATTAATCCCATAGATATTTAATAAGCTACTTAGTAATTAATTTCAATAGAAAAATTCAGTTAGAAAAGTATTTTCTATTTCTAGAATGCAAATAAAATAGAATCAAATGATAATGTAATGAATAATTGTCTAATAGCAGATATGGGTTCTATTTATAATATTAGAAATTCCTATTTTTAAGATTTCAACTCAAACTACTCCTAATTAGGAGCCCAATGAGGGGGCTTTGGATATTTTGATTCTTCAAAAATCCTATTGAATTCAGTGTTATTTTCCAACACAATTGCGAAATTTGGAGGAATGCTTGAAATTACTGGATAGTCAGATATTGAAATTAAAAATTCACATTTTTATTATTTCTAGTCTATCAATAATGGTTCTGGGATATATGTGGATGATGATATGAATAATATTAAGATAAATGTATCTAATACAGCATTTTCCTATTCAAATCCAAATCTAATGATTTAAGATCCTTCAATGAAAATCTATGGAGGAGTTATATATGCTAAGGGTCGTGGAATAAGCATTAATTTAAGTCAGAATATAAAAACTGATTAATTATAAGCAGATAATGGGTCTTTAATTTATAGTGAAGGAATAATATCGATTAACATAGACTCTTTGTAATACTTAAATTCCTAGTCTAATGCCATTTATTCCACTGGAAAAACATAAATTACGATGACTAATTCTGAAATTTTATGTAAATAGTAAATTTTATCTTCCAAGCTCTTTGATCGGAATTATTTATAAATTAGCTATTAAAACAATTTAGACATTCAATCTGATTCTCAAAGTATGATTATTATTGAAGATGGAGTAAATTTCTATGGATCATTGAATATTTTTCAGCAATGTTATTATGCTTCAAAAGGAGGTATTTTATTTGGAAAGTCCTCTTCAATATATGACGATCTATCAATATATAAGAATATAGGGGCTTTAGAAGGTGGGTTAATGTATTTCCAAAATTCAAATGCAACAATTAGCAATTTCCATGTAGAAAATATTATAGCCAAGAACGGAGGAATGATTTATCAAGAAGGATTTTCATAGTTAGAATTAAATCTTGGATAAATATAGTATGCTATTGCTTTAGTTTCAGGAGCTGTAGTTTATTCAGTTAATTTAAAAGAAAATGATAACAACTAAGACTCCTAACAAACAAATAGTTATTCAAAACTTTCAATTTCTAAAACAAACATTTCATAAATTATAAGTATAAATGATGGTGGATCATTTTATCTTGATTCCAGAGGCATTGAATTTGATCTTACAGAAGCTTAAGTATTTGCAGTAGAAGTTCTTTTTGGTTCTGGGGGATTTATTTTTATTAAAGAAGCTGAAAAATGCTCATTATCTGATATATTTCTCTAAGATTCATATGCAAGAAATTAAGGTCAGCAAATTTTTTCATAAAAAGTAGGATTGAATTTTCAAATATTGAGGGCTAATTTAAATCAAATTGAAAAATAAACCTTTAATTATTATTCTTAGGATGAACCTATCACTGAACTTGCTGGGATTACTTTACTAAATTCAAAATCTGTTACATTTAATTAGTGTCAATTTATTGGAAACTTGTATTCAGGAAAAGGTGGTGCAATTTATGTTCAAGGCGGAAATGTATCTGTTTAAAATTGCTTATTTACATAGTTATATTCATAGTATGGATCAGCAATGTATCTTGAAAACTGTTTAGATATTTAACTTTAAGGCCTCAATATATAAAACAGTATGGCAAGTATAGATGGAGGTAGTTTATACATTAAAAATCCAACAGGAAACGTTAAAATAATTGATTCACTATTTACTAAGGTACTATCTTAAAATGAGGGTGGATGTGTCTACTACTTAGTAGATGATGCATCAAGTTCGGTTTAAGTTGCTCTTCAGTTTTAAAACGTAAGTTTCTCAATAATTTAGGCTAAAATTGCAAGCTCGGTTTCTGTATATGGCTATTAAACTAATGTGATTTTTTTAAACTGCTCAATAGCAAGATCTTATGGTGATGATTTCAATTCTATTTATATTAAAAATGCTAACACTTTAGATATTATTGCTTTTGATGTTTCTAGCATTTATTCGAAAGATAATTCTGCTTTTTTATATGTAGATACTGTGAAAGAATCAGTAAGTATTTAGTAAACGAGAATCTAATGCAGGGTTACTACCGATTAATACACTAACCCAGAATAAGTAGAAGATTGGCGAAGAAGGAACTTAAGAAATAATGATTAACATATTGAACAAATTGATAATTAAATATTAAATGATGATTATACTCTCACTAAAAAAGTTTAATTAATCAAGAAAACTGAATTCGATATTTATGATTCTAAAGCTATAAGTTAGTAATCAGTAGATTTTTTTAGTGATTAAGAATTGCAAATAAATGATTCAGAACATTTTAATGAATCAAAACGATTTCTCCAATATGATTTTAATACAATAGGATCAAATTTTTATTCTAATAGAAATATTTTAGCTCCTATAATTGTGGATAAAGCACCACAGCTTTTTCTATAAAAAATGATAATTAAGTAATGTATAATGACAAAGGAAGAAAATACTGAGAATTCAATCATAGTTTATTAAAAAAAATTCTAATATTTATCATCTTTTACATTTATTGACATTAATTCTATTTACGACAATTGCAGAGGTAAGAATGGAGGATTATACAACCTTTTTAGAACTAAATCATATTTCTTCAACAATACAGTAACGAATTAATAATCTCTATAATATTCAATAATTCATGTTTTTTGGCTATAATTATTATTCATGCATAACTGCACCTTCGATTAAATTTATACATTTGAAAAAGGAGGAATCTTTAGTTTTGAATACCCTTAGAGTAATTCATTCATTCAAAGGGATGTGACAATTAGGAATTCTACATTTTTGAATATTTAAGTGGATTCAGGATCTGGAGGATTAATATATTAAAATGATTTGTCCTTAGATAATTTGTATATTGAATCTGTGACTATAAAAAATATTTAATGCATGTTTAATGCTATTATCTAATTAAATGGTCTACAAAAAAGTCTGAAAATTTCCTCAAATCCAAAGTATTAAAGTACAGAATTCTCAAATTTTTTTTCCTCAAATAATTCAGCTTAATTTCTTGAATTCAATATAAATAATAATTTGGAAGGAGGCTGAATCGAAATAAGAGATTCAATAATCGATTGTCAGAATTAAAATAGAACACCTTTTCTGAATAGACCATAGTATGACTATTCAGATGAAGGAGTTATAAAATATAAAGGGAATGGGGGTTTATTTACAGAAAATTGTATTTTTAGAAATTGTATTTTATCCTATATTGGTGTCTTTTTCAAAGTCGGTAGTAATAATTTTTTTGACAGTACTAGTGCCTCATATGAAGATAATGGCTCATAGTTTTATAATTTAAAGGGGACATTTGGGTCTGTAGTTTCCTGTCAGAGCTGTGAGTTAAAATTAAAAAACACTATCATCCATGATGTTGAAGCAGACTAAAAAGGAGGTGCACTATATTTTTAAGGGAATACAATAGCTAAGCTTGAGAATATAACGGCCTTTAGAATCAATGCAAAAGATTTTGGAGGGTTTTTAGCTAGTGAAACAGAGTTATACAATACAGTCATTATTATTTCAGATTCAAGAAATATATCTTATATTACCTCCTCCTAAGGTGGATTCGCCTATTTTAATAACCCTAAATCTTCTTTGTTACTTTAAAACGTGGAACTCTCTTATATCAAAGCATAAATTTAAGGAGGAATAATTTATGCAATCGATACAAACATTATATAGCTTGATAACTCCAAATTCTCTTAATTCAGTGCTTTAAAAGGAGGATTCATTTCTTCTTCTTCATTCAATATGAAAATTATGATTTCTTAATCAATTATTATATGTGATAAAAACTATAAGTAAAGTAATGAATTTGATGTATTAACTGGCAGAAGCTATTAGCCTCTAAACATATCATAGTTTTACTTGTAAAATATTATTAGCCTAACTATTAGAAACAATTATTTCTAAAAATGTGGTTATTCTTCTTAAGGAGGCTTGTTTTCATTGTAGAATACAACGTTTACAGACTATAAATCAATTTATAAAAATATTTCAGGGTAATATGGAGGAGTTTTGTATGCACAAGATACAAACATATCTATAACTCAATCATAATTCATAGGCAGTTTAGCGAAAACAGGTGGAGTTTTTTATATCGTATCAAATTCAAACTTAAGTATATCCTACTGCTAATTATAATACAATTAAGCATTCTAATCGGCTGGTGTAATATATGCATCTACATAATCAATTTTCAATATCAAAGGAAGCATTTTTTCTGAAAATAAAGCTGAGGAAAATTCAGTAATGGAAGTTCTTAACACATTTCTATTAGAAAATGCTAAAATAATTAATTGTCAATTCTTGGAAAATGTTGCAAAAAAGAATACAATTTCATTGATTTATTCTAATGTTTATATAAAAGATGTTTTATTCGATAATAATTTCGCTAAATACAGATCTAAAAATTTGCTATTGGGCTTTGTTAATATTACTATTTAAAACACTATATTTAAAAACAAACAAGAAAATAATTTAGCTCTAATGAGTGATGAAACATCTGGTGCATTTATATTTTTGATATTTGATGTTTAAATGGATATTGATAACTGCTAGTTTTTAAATGGGATTTCTAATTTAGGGGGCGCCTTATATATTTCAGGAGATAGTATCATTAGAATTTCAAGGTCATCATTTATAAATAATCAAGCTAATTCCAAAGGTGGGGCAATATATACTTCTGGCTTCTAAAGTATCTATATAGGAGAAGGAACATAATTTATAGATAACTCAGCAGTTGAAATTGGAGAAGATTTCTACATCACAAACTCCAAAAATATTTTGACATTAAATAATGTCTTGCTTCAAAATCCTAAATCTAAGAATTCAATATACATCGAATAGTCTATTTTAAATGCTGAAAATTTGTAGATAAAAGATATTAATTAGAATTAAGATTCTAAAATGGGTGCAGGAATATTTTGTAATTATTGTAGGGGGCTCAATATTAAATCATCTTAATTCATTAATATAAAAAGCACAGTGGGAGGAGCGATTTCTATAATAGAAGTTGATATTAATAAAGGGACGACTTAAGAGTAGAAAGAAGAAAAGTTTTTTATATCTGATAGTAAATTTTAGAACTGCACTGCTCAAATTGGTGGAGCAATTTATTCTGAAAATGCACAATCAGTTAAGATTATTAATTCTACGTTTTCTCAAAATAAGGCTTTAATTGGACAAAATAGTCTCCATAAAATAGCAAATTAAGGGGCAGGAGGAGCAATATACTATACATGCAACAGCTAAGAGCTAAATTGCAAAATGAAATTTGAAGGCTTCAATATCTTTAAGGACAATTTGGCTGAAGTAAAAGGTGGAGCTCTATTTTGGGACTAACTTGAGCCAGAATTCAGTAGAAATGACATGTTTTTCTCGAATAACATAGCTTAGCTATATGGAAATGATATAGCTTGCTATTCATAGAATTTATAAACTATTAGCCTGTAGGAATATTAAAATCAATTGATTGAAATTGGATTGTACTCCAATTAAGATTTTCAGTCTAGAATTTTGGAATTTTAAAATAAAGTCATTTCTCATAGATTCCTTGAAGAAATTAATTTTCATAGAAGCGGGGACAAAATACCTATTATGTTTTTAGCTCTGATAGACAAATATGGGCAAATTGTTGGCTCTGACTTTTAAAGCAAAATTAGAATAATTATTGAGACAACTAATTTGGATGAATAACAGAGTTTATATTATCCAATCCTTGAAGGTATTATAACTTATGATATGATAGGGGGTGTTTCAGTTATACAGAACATATAGATATCGGGTACTCCTGGCTGCTCATACAATCTTACTTTTATAACAGAAGGGATTGATTTAACAAAAAAGTCTAATTAGTTAAAAATGTAAGATTTAGGTAAAACAGACCTAAATTTTGGTTTGAAAATAAACTTAAGGGAATGCTAAATTGGGGAATATTTTACAGTCGTTGGGAAATGCATCAAATGTGAGTAGAGTTTTTCTCTGGTAAAAATGACAGAACCAGGCAGTTGTCAAGTCTGTCCAACTGAAAAAGCAATATGTTATGGAGGATCTAAAATTGGGCCTCTACCAGGATTTTGGAGAAGTAGCAATAAATCTGTAAATTTCTTGTTATGTTTATTTGAATACGCCTGCTTGGGAATGATTCCTCCTTTGAATAATCCATTAGGTGAATGCTTATAAGGATATTAAGGCATACTCTGTGCAGATT